TTCAGCAGAACTTAAGAGTTCCTTTGGGAAAATTCCCTGTAAAGATTAACGATGGTCTAGCCTTCCTCTCTTTAAGTCCTCCACTCTTGTTTTTTCTTGTACACATTGTTTGATGTTTTGTCCATTAGTTCTAATGAAGTTGGTCTTATGAAGCTCATCAGTGATATCTACACTGTTAAATCCACAAGTTAAATTCCTCATCCTAAGCCATGTAGGAGTTATGTTTAACAGAGTCAAATAGCTGTTTGCTTTCTCCTCCTCCTTCTCTTTCTTCTTTCTCCTCCTCCTTCTCTTCTTTCTCCTCTTCTATTTACGCTTCTTCTTGTTCTTCTTCACCTCCCTCTTCTTTCATGATGTAGGCGTGTGTGTGTGTGTGTGATGTGTATAGTGTGAATACACATAGACCAGAAATGACACTATGAGTCTTCTACTCTACTTTCCACCTTATTTTTTTCAGAGTCTTTCACCAGAAGCATAACAATTGATGAAGCTGGTTGGACAAGCTCCATGGATCTGCCTGTCTCTGCTTCCTACCCCAGTACTGGAATTACAGATGCTCATGGCCATGCCCAACTTCTATGTGTATGCTGGGGATCTGTAATTGGATCCTCCTGGGGATCTGTAATTGGATCCTCCTGATCATTAGACAGGAGCTTTACTGAATGAGTCATTGCAATGATTCCACACTCTTTCCTCTTTAATATCTTCTTTAATAACTCCAGAATAGAGGGTCCACCTGATCCAGTATGGTGGCTCCTTCTCTGTTGGACACTCGTTGTCAATGCTGCCTTTTGTCCCCTCCTCCACATTGCTCAGTTTTGGTCCTCCTTACCTACACACACTCAGCATAGTCTACACCAGTGGTTCTCAAGCTGTGGGTCATGACCCATTTGGGGTTGAAGGACCCTTTCACAGGGGTGGCACATGAGATGTCCTGCATATTATAATTTATACTGATTCACAACAGTAACAAAATTACAGATATAAAGTGGCAGCAAAAATAATTTTATGGTTAGGGGTCACCATAGCATTTAACACCTTTGTATTAAAGGTTTGCAGTATTAGGAAGGTTGAGAACCACTTATCTATATAATGATGGAATTATTTACATCTTTCCCTTGGACTCTCAGCTGCCTACTCAGCACATCTTTTCAAATATTTAATAAATAGAGTTAAAATTAAATCCTGATATTCAACTTTTTCATCAAATTTATTCCTTCCTCCACCTTCTTACGTATGTCAGAAGAGGTAAATCCATCTTCACAGAAGTTCCAGATATCTTAGAGACATCTTTCATTCTTCTTTTTGTTACAATGCCACATTTACTTCTCTGTGAAATATTGTCTTTACCACAATATTATGTATTTAACAATATGTCCAAAATGCATCTGTTTCTCTTTACTGCCCCTGCTTTATCTTTGATCTCAGTTTCTGTCTCCGTTCACACTATTCAATGCTGAATGACCTCCTACTGGACTTAATGCTCCATTATCAGTTCAACAGCTAGGAATACTGATGGGACAAAAATTAGACCACACAAGTCTTCATTTCAGTTTTTTTTAAAATCAGTTTTTAAAAGAAATGGAAAACTGGGGTCTAAGCCTACCATCTTACCTGCAGACATCCACAGTGTAAGAAACACATTTGCATTTGGCTCATGTGCTTAAGCTAGAAAATTCAGGTCTTCCGTGAACTCCTCCTTCACCTTTGCATAATGGTCAATTATCCCGGTCAGTTCCTTCCATTTATGCATGTGTCTGTGGCATTCGTTGGTATCTGTGCTCTTCCGATGCCAGCTTCTCCCCACATCCATTCTCACCTCAAGTCCACTTTCTGTGCATTAACACTAATCTTTCTAGTTAAATGTGATTTTATCCATAAGATTCCCTCATTTACCACCAAAGCTTTTCCTCTTCTGAACGTTGTTTGATGATTTCTAAATTGAAGCTTTAATCATAGTTTAGGATGCTTTTAAATGCCTGTCTCTCAAAATAAATCTCTTGGTTCACTTAAAGTTTTGCAATCAGCTTTTAAAGGTATATTAGCTCTTGTTCTATTAAATGTCATTTTTGTCAAGATGAATGTTTTGTACAATCATTTATAAAATGAACTGTTTATGTAATGTTAATTAAATTATACTTCAAAGTGAAAAAGGCTACAGAAATCTCTCCTTTATTAAAATTCTCAGATTTCAAGAAATAATATTATAAGGAAAAAAATAGAAAATATTAAAGAATATTGAGAATATTGGTTTCCATCATTTACAAAATGCAGTCACCTAAGTAAACCCATATATTAACACAGGTGTCCAAGGATGAAATTTTATCTTCCCTTTTTGGAAGAGCAAATTGAAGAACACAAAAGTGATTTGATGGAAAATAGTGAGCAAATCCAGGATGGAGCTGACTCTTTCAATATACACCACTTGGGAGTGTATGCAGAGGAAGGCCCGTAAATCCAAAATTTAACAAATTAACTCTAGCTGTAAGATAATAACTACTTTCTCATGTAGACCAAAAAAAAAATCTTTTATCTTAAAATTTTTTAAGTTTTATTTTTTAATTTAAAGCAAATCAGCATTGTCATTGTACATTATTACAAAGTACCAGTTTTCTACAAAGGTTGTGATGAATTCTGGAAGTGACTATTGCATCAGAAAGTCACACCAGCACTACTGGAGCCTGCTTCAGCAGCTAAGGGTGAGGTTTTGGCTCAGCTAAAGGTTAGGTGGCAGGGCGTCTTGAGGCTAACAATCTCTGCACATTTTGGATGCTGTAGTAAATGTGAGTTCTCACCCTCTCCGCTTTGGGCCAGGGCTTACTCTCTACGCCTACAACTCTGGCTTTTAATGAAATAAAAGCAAGCAACATCTCTATCTACATCAAAAGATAATTGAAAAAATTCAAATCCTTAAAAACATTTTGTGCTTAAAATAAAATAATGCTGTTAAAGGTTTTTCTTAAGGCAAGTCTAACAATACTTACTACCCCTCCCATTTGGGGCTTTAAAATCTAGGAATGAATGCTCAAGTAAATGCTGGTTGAATAATTTCACACCCAGAATCTTTTCCAGGGTCCTCATGCCATTTTCCTTTAGAAAGCATGACCCACTTGCTTATTTTATAAAACTGTACCTGCTATAGAGAAAACAGCATACACTAGTTAAATGAGTGTGAGGCTTGAGTAGATGGCAGAGAAGTGTGAGAAAATCACAATTCCTGCTTCTACTGTTAACAGTTAGCAGTATTTATTGAGCAGTAAATTAGCACATGATAGGACATTGTGCTAATCACTGCTTTATAAGCACTATCACACTACAGGCTATGAAATCTAATCAGTTCCTTGTCTGTTTAATTCTGTAGAGAGGAAAAATTGTAGCACCAAAAAAGGCAAGCTTGTCTCAAATTAGTAACCAATTTTGGCAACCTCACTTCAGGGTCTATAATGTGCCAGACCCTTCTACTCCAGTGCACATTCTAGAAAGAAGAGAGGAGACTACAACTAGACAAACAGGTTATCAGCATCTTCTTATATGTAGATAAGACCACTGAAGAAAGAAAAGAGAAGACTCCATAGAAATAACTAGAGAAATCAGGTAGATTGTTCCACACCTGTAACCCCAGTGTGTCGGGAGCTTAGGTAGGACCGTGAGCGTGAGGCGAGCCTGGACTGTACAGCAAGGCCTTGTCCTCCTTCAGATACCACCAAAGTGAACATTAGCAATATAGAAAAGTGGTTGGGAACATGGGCGTTGGCACCAGGTTTGAGTGCTGGTTGGCTGGATGGCTGTTATTTATCTTCTTTGTGTCTGAATTTCTTTGAGTATAGATACTAGTACTAAATTCACATACCCATCCAGAGGTCAAGATGAGCTGAACTAGTTAAAATGCCTAAAACACTGTCTGACTGAACACTAAGTATTTGCATTTTATTATTATTGGAAGGGTTCTGTTTATTTTTGCTTCTCTCCTTTCCTTCCTTCCTTCTCCACTTCCTTCCTTCCTTTTTTCTTTTCTTTCTTTCTTTTTTGATTCTTATCATTATGTGAGAAGTTCCACTCAAGAAAGTACAATCTGAAAATTATGTGAATCCTATGTGTATCCAAGCCAAAACCTAAATGATGCTCAGTCACATAGACATTAAAAGACAGAGCTTACAGGTGGAAGGGACCAGAGTGGTAAAGTCCTTGAGCCAGATGCTCAGCAAAGAAGGCCTGGATGAATCTGCCAAAGGCCAGATTCAAGAGTGAGTTGGAAATCAAGTGACAGTTGCCTTCATAGGCCATGATAAAGATCTGATTCCTCTGACACACCTTAAACACAGCAATAGCATATTTTAATTTAGACTCTATAAATATCACTCTGGCTGCCATGAAAAGTTGGATTATGAGTTCTATAGTGTGTTTACTGTGAATTAGACATAAGTGAGTAACTGGTTTCTGATTATCTTTGGGATGTCCCTTATCCTTACCAGTTATTTATGAGCTTATTCTTCTCCAAAGGACAAAGACACTGATTGTGTAGAACTGGAAAGCTTTCCCTAGTGGATGGTACTACTTCCTCCTTCCATCCCTCCTTTCCAAGTTCAGCAACAGCATCTTAGCAACAGCATCCAACTCAGTCTTACCGGATATCTTTGATGAAAGCATTCCAGTGTCAGAGTAGCTATCAACAACAGGTCCATGTGTTGACTAGCTGATAAAACTGTGGTATAGCAATGCATGACAGTAGAAGAAACAAGCATTTCTAGATCTTTGGCTATTTTACAACCATAGCAATGTTAAATTGTTATTTTAATGTCAACACTGGAAAGACACTAACATATTAAAAACAATATCATACCCATGTCATGATAAAAAATATTAGTACCCTAAACTATTTCTCATATAACGTGAGCCGGAGATAAAATTTGTATGAAGATTTTTCTGACTAACCACAGCTCATAAAGGCTTTATTAAAGCTCAAAAGTATAGCTATATAAAGTGTTTTATATATATTTTACCTGTGTGTTCAGCTCCCTCGTTCTTGACTTCTGTGGTTTCCACAGAAGAGGTGGGCGGGCTAACTGGAGGGCTAGAAGTAAAGCTGGTACACCCTGTAGATGTGCTGATTTCAAAGTATTCTTGGTTATGATTCATTCGCTGGAAATCCAGAGAAGACACAATAGATGTTCGTTGTTTTGGCTAAAATACACAAACGCGACAGGAGTATTAATACAAACCTGCTTGCCTTTAATCCGACCTCACTGTCTAAGCAACTTGAGGATGGAAAAGTTTATTTCATCCTCACATCCATGTAACAGTTTACCATCAAAAGCAGTGAGGGCAAGAACTCAAGCAGGTTAGAAACCTGGAGGCAGGAGCTGATGCAGAAGCCATGCTGCTTACTGGCTTGCTCATCATGTTTGCTCAGCCTGCTTTCTTATAGAACCCAGGACCACCAGTCCAGCGGTGGCCCCACCCACAGTGGGTTGGACTGTCCCCCATCAATCACTCATTAAGAAAATGCCCTAAAGGCTTGCTTCATACCAATCTTATTGAAGCATTTTCTCAACTCAGGTTCCCTCCTCTCTGAAGACTCTAGTTTATGTCAAGTTGACACAAAACTAGCCAGCCCAGTACAGTACAAAGAGACGCTAATCAATCAGTTGATGATAGTGAAAAGTTGTATAATTAAAAATTTTATGACACAGTTGATATAATACTTCAGGCTATTCAATTTTCACAGAAGATCACAAAATCAAACACACAGCATTCCTCTTAATAATCGATTTTGAAAGTTGCAACTTTAAGTTGCCTTTCATTCAGCTAACATTTATTAAACAGCTGCCATTTGCTACACCCAGAGGATACAGAAGCTAATAACAGAATGTCCCTCCAAAGTTAAAGTATAATTAAGGCAGTTCCATTTTTTTATTCTTTATACAGTCCAAGGAATTGGTGGCATTAGTTATTATTCCCAAGTACCATATGCTGGAATTAAATCATGAGAATTAAGTAAAGTTTTATGGAACATTTTCTAGGATCTAAGAATCTAGTTGGTATTTGTAGTGAACTTTGATTTTCTTTTTTAAGGATTTTAATTAATCCCCAAATAGCAAGAAAAGTCAATTTGAACATAAAAGTTAAAATCATGGAGCACTTACAGATATAATCTGTACGCTCTGTCGGTCATGGATTACTCCCTACAGGAGCCTTCTGGGTTTTTCCAACAAGGGTATTAATCATTTTCCCATTCTTCTTGCCTACCAATGCTTAGAACATTATACTTTAAAAAAAACTTCAGTTCTTTGTCCCTGAGATATATGTACATTTTCCAAAAATCAATCCATGCTTTAATTTTAATATTCTTATTTATAAAAGTGAAAAATAAAAAGAGCAAATGTAAGATTCATGTAATAAAGTTCACTATACACTCACTTTCTTCATAATTCAACCTTCCATTCATTAGAGATTTCCTTGCTCAAAAATGTTTGGTAATTCAATCACTATCTTCAGAGATCATTTTCTTATAGAAACTTGAATACAGTATCTCTTCTACATTGTTGCATTTTATTGTTAAATTAGATATCAAAAATCTGTAGACGGCATGAAATGATCACAATATGCCTATTCGTTCATTTCATTACTTTAAAAAGCTTGAGAGGCAAAATATTGTTAAATAGGAGCATGTGTGTCATTTGTTATTATGACACAGCTCGGGAACAGAATTCAGATTAGTACCCACACAAGATTCAGTTGGAAGTATGAAAGATGAGGGTTTAATGTCAGGCTTGTTTTCTCATGAAACGTCTGCCCTTGGGGCCACTTAATCTCAGTTTCACATTCAATGTCCTTTCCAGTACACTCCATAGCAGCCATTAAAGAGCCACAAGCTATTGCAGGGGAACTAATAGAAGCAAATATGTCCATCAGTCAAGCTTTTGTTTTGTTGTGTTGTATTGTGTTTTGTTCTCCTTTATATACAGGCAAGACTGCTTTCCCACTAACGCTCTTTCCCATGAGCCTTCTAAAGGTCAAAGCTACCGGTGCATATGGTCTCCACCGAAATCTTCCTTAAATATATGCTTCCAAACCTCTAATTGCATTAGAACACAACTTGTTATATAATTATGAAGATAAATAGGCTAATTTTGCTGCATTAATTTATCCTACAAATATTGCTGAGCGCACACTTAATGGCAGATACCAGGGTGAGTGCTGCAACAGCAATAAAGAAGTGACATTCCAGCGCTTCAGTGGGAGGAGAAATGATGAAAGGGAAGAGACAGTGCAGCAGACAGAGATGCAGCCAGGGAGCACAAAAGTCAGGGAAGCCAGCAGGTGGGTCTCCCCCCAGGGAGGGCACCAGAAAAGCTTCCCTCACAGCTGAGCGGAATATCTCGGGGAAGAAGAGGCAGAAGACACACAAGCAAACACACACACACACACACACACACATACACACACACAGAGATGCATACACAGAGAGATGCATGCACACATGCACAAACCCGCACACACAACACGCGCCACAAACATGCATGAAACTCACAAGAGCACTCGTACCATACTCACATACCCACACACCACACACACATGCATGCACAAACACACATGTGTGTATGCATGTACACATACACATGCATGCATGCATACCCAAGTGCACATATGTACACATACATACAAGCACACATACACACAAAACACAAGGCATGAACACTCATACAGACACAAGTGCACACACACTCACATGTATACACATGAAAGAGCACACACACACGTAACACACACATGGACACACAAAGATGAAGAGAAAGGTCAAAACTCTACAAGGCTCACTATGACTATAATGCAAAGTATATGAAAGTTATGTTGCGTTCAGAAAATGAAATGTTGAAAATTGCAGATACATAAGGACTCATATTGCCACACAAAAGATTTTGTTCTTTATTCAAAATATTTTAAGGAACTATACTGACAAGGAAGAATGCGTTTTACTTATGTTATCCTTTAGTAAACTCATTTTAGCGTTGAAAGAAATGCTGAAAAAGCATTTGACAAAATCCAATACCCATTCAATGTTTAAAGTCTTGGAAAGATCAGGGATACAAGACACATATCTAAACATAGCAAAGGCAATATACAGCAAGCCTATAGCCAACATCAGACTAAATGGAGAGAAACTTAAATCAATCCCCCTGAAATCAGGGACAAGGCAAGGCTGCCCACTCTCTCCATATCTCTTCAACATAGTACTTGAAATCCTAAGTAGACCAATAAGACAACTAAAGGAAATCAAGGGGATGCAAATCAGAAAGGAAGAGGTCAAAGTGTCACTATTTGCAGATGATATTATAGTATACATGAGCAACCCCAAAAATTCATCCAGAGAACTCCTTCAGCTGACAAAACACCTTCAGTAAAGTGTGACTGGATACAAAATTAACTAAAAAAAAAAATCAGAAGCCCTTCTGTATACCAAAGACAAAAGGGCCGAGAAAAAAATTAGGGAAACAACACCCTTCACAATAGCCACTAATGACATAAAGTACCTTTGTTTGACTCTAACCAAGCAAGTGAAAGACCTGTTTGAAAAAAAAATTCAAGTCTGTGAAGAAAGATATTGAAGAAGATATCAGAAGATGGAAAGATCTCCCGTGCTCATGGATCTGTAGGATTAACATAGTGAAAATGGTCATCCTGCCAAAAGCAATCTACAGATTCAATGCAATTCCCATCAAAATACCAACAACAGTTCTTCACAGAACTTGAAAGAAAAATTCTTAACTTCATATGGAAAAACAAAAAACTCAAAATTGGAAAAACAATCCTGTACAACAACCAATTGTCTGGCGGTATTTCCATCCCTCATCTCAAGCTGTACTACAGAGCAACAGTAATAAAAACTGCATGGTACTGGCATAGAAACAGAATGGTGAATCAATGGAATTGAAATGAAGACCCAGAAATAAGCCCACACACCTATGAATATTTGATTTTTGACAAAGAAGCCAAAACCATACAATGGAAAAAAGACAGCATCTTCAACAAATGGTGCTGGTCTAACTGGATGTCTACATGTAGAAAAATGAAAATAGATCCATGTTTATCACCCTGTACAAAACTAAAGTCCAACTGGATCAAAGACCTCAACATAAAACCAGACACACTAAATCAATTAGAAGAAAAAGTGGGGAAGAGTCATGAACTCATTGGTACAGGAGACAACTTCCTGAATAGAACACCAACAGCACAGGCTCTAAGATCAACAATAAATGAGACCTCATGAAACTGAAAAGCTTCTGTAAAGCAAAAGACACTGTCGTCAGACCAAAAATGACAGTCTACAGACTGGGAAAGGTTCTTCACCAACCCCATTCTGACAGAGGGCTAATATCCAGAATATATAAAGAACTAAAGAGGTTAAAAAGCAACAAATCAAGTAATCCAATTAAAAAAATGGGTTCCGGAGCTAAACAGAGTATTTTCAACAGAGGAATATCAAATGGCAGAGAAACACTTAAAGAAATGCTCAACGTCATGAGTCATCAAGGAAATGCAAATCAAAACGAACCTGAGATTTCACCTTACACCCTTCAGAATGGCCAAGATCAAAAGCTTAAGTGACAACACATGCTGGCGAGGTTGTGGAGAAAGGGGAACCTTCTCCATTGCTGGTGGGAATGCAAACTTTGGAAATCAATCTGGAGCTTTCTCAGACAATTAGGAATAGTGCTTCCCAAGATCCAGCTATACCACTCCTAGGCATATATCCAAAAGATATTCAAGTACATAACAAGGACATTTGCTCAACCATGTTTGTAGCAGCTTTATTCGTAATAACCAGAACCTGGAAACAACCTAGATATCCCTTAATGGATGCATGGATACAGAAATTGTGGTACATATACACAATGGAATACTACTCGGCAATTAAAAATGAGGAAGTCATAAAATTTGCAGGCAAATGGTGGGAACTAGAAAAGATGATCCTGAGTGAGCTATCCCAGAAGCAGAATATATACTCACAATATATACACACAATATATACTCACTTAAAAGTGTATTCTAGATATATAATACAGGATAAACCTACAAAAAATCTGTACACCCAAAGAAAGAGAGCTAGAAGGAGGACCCTGAGTAAGACGATCAATCCTCAGTACTGCAAAAGGGATGGACATTGGAAGAAGGAGAAAACA